GGCACACTTGTGCTGCGCGAGGGAACGTCGAGGGACGGAGCAGAGATGCAAGTGGCTAACAGAGCAGCGATGGATTTAGACTAGGACTTGGGTCCGATGGCTGACCGTAGTGCTTCCGCTTGTCAGCCGCTTCCCCTATCGAGCGGAAAACGGAGGGAATCGCTCGGAAAGGCACATAACAAAGGAGCGCTAGTCTTCATTTTCGCAATAGGATGAATCTGAAAAGATCTGCAATTTGCAAAAATCATGCTGTAACCTTAGCGCTTAGTCTGTTCGCCGGTTGCCTTTTTTGAACGAACAAGACGCAGTCGATCTCGCGTATCGGGCGTTTCAATTGTTTTCGTGATCGTGCGCACCTGCTGGCTGATGGTCGGGTCGCTTGGACAAAGGTTGCACAAGGAGAAAGAAAAAGGAAGAAGGCCCAAAAAGGCTGATCGAATTTCGAGGGTGTTTGGACGTGCCTGATCGGCGTTTACTTGCTAACTATGGTAGGAGTGACCGCCGAAGAATAAAGAAAAATGCAGAAAATCATGTTTGAGGGCAAGAAGCGTGCCTGGGTTCCCAGCGACCCTTACTGTCCTTGCCGGCGTCCAGCCATATGCGAACAACGGGTGGAACATGACCTTCAGCGGAAAGAACGCGCTCGCAACTTGTGCATCGATCAATGAATATCCCCTCGTAAGTGCACATCAGGTTCTAACGCGGGTGGTTATTAGCCATGAAACTGCGAAAAAAAAGGTACAATACCATTAAGCTTTGAAACGAAACGCGCGGATGCGACTGGAGCATCTTGGCAATCTGTTGCGAGAGACTTTGGTACACAAGAAAATCGGATTGGGAATGAGGGGATTTCTGGAATGGTCATGAAGAAGAGAGATGCAATCATTTACGCCACATACCTTTTCTCTCGGTCCAAATGCAGTTACGTCTCTATCACTAGGACAGGGTCGCTTGGTGCGTATGCCATGGTGACGTAGCAGACCAAAACATCCCGGATAGTGAAACGCACAACAGCGGGATTGCCGAGTTGTGTCGAGCCCGGTATTCGGGTCCATATATGGAGCTTACAGGAATGCGTTGGATTAAATTCTCGAATGTAACCAGCGAGTTCGTGGGCCCGAAGAGCTGGGGGTTCGTCACTCGTCACTGGGAACAGCGAAGAGCTTCGTGTGTCATACGGGATAAAAGGCTGAGGAGAGTCTGGGGAGGGAGGACGCCTAGAGACCGTCAGCGCGTCTGCAGCCAAAGGATGAAAGCCCTGCCTTCGCTTGCGCGTTTCTCGTCTGCCGTTTCTGTTCAGATCCGACTTGTCTGCCCTCTCGCTGTTTGTTGCGGTACGTAGAGCTTCTTGGACGGAATCAGAACGTATGGTGTCGGCGAGTTCCTTCAGCTGCTGAAAGTCGTGGCGGATGGACGGGGATGAAAAGGGCATGGATGATTTGAGCAGTGAGGGTGGCGCATTTCTGAGCTGTTGGAGACGGGATTGTATGTCTGAAAGCGAGCTAATCATTGAAGACAATCGCTCGACCGCCATGGCCAGTTCAAAACGAGGGCGCGGTCATGTGACTACAATTTCGACCCTGAGGCGATCATTGAGCGATCAAAGCCTGGAGGCATGAAAGAGTAATACAACATCCAACACGAATCATATATTCCGTCAGCGCTCCAATGAAGTCATGAATCTTTTTCTATATAATACCGCCCAGTCGACCGCACACCATAACGCAATGTCCTCCGAATCTGACAATAAAGACCCAGTGCGCGTCGCAGCCGGCCTCAAAGCCACCCTCCACAGAGACAACGTTTCGGACGAAGCCAAGCAACACGCAGAAGAGCGTCTCAAGGAAATGGGCGCCATTTCTGCCGACCAACAGCCCTTGAGCACTCGCGAGCTTGGTACGGGACTTCTCCCCTTCGACATGTAGTTATTAACTCATTTTTCAGGCGGATACAAAGCCACCTTGAACAGTTTGTCTTTTCTTTTTTTTTTTTTGCCGTATTTCCTCACTGTTCTGACCTCTCCTTCAGACGACGCAACTTCTGACAAAGCCAAGGCTCACGCCCGCGAAATCCTGGAAGCAGCGGGGCATACTACGGTCGTTGGGGAAGATGTCGACACAGACGAGCACAAGGTCCGTGTTCTCGCGGGCTACAAAGCCGCATTGCACAGTACGTGTCGGCTCCTTTCAGTTCTGTGTTGGTATTGAGTGCTGAGCTCCTGCAGATCCTCGCGTCTCCGAGGAAGCCAAGCAACACGCGCGCGAATATCTGCAAGAGCATGGCGGAATTTAGTGTCTCGGTAGCCATCTTGTTTGCTGTGAAAGAAGAATGAAATGAATTGCTCTACGTCGACCGGCTGAGTTCATCCACTCTTTTGAGCAGGGTATCTACCCTTCCCTCAAGTCCGCCAACATTTCCTTTCACTACGCTGCGGTTCTCCTCTAAGCTCTTCTCGATCGTCTTGATCGCGCCTTCCAGTTCACCCAGCGCCTCCCGCATCTTGCGCTGATCCTCCTCTAGCCCCTCCAGCGTACTTTCGAACTGGCCCGCTGAGGTGTGCAGTGCAGACAGGGTTCTCAAACGAGTGAGGATGTAGGAATGTGGGGAAGGGACGGTCCTAGCCGCGAAAGTAATGGCAGTATTTGATCTTGGATTTGAGAAGGAGGAGCGCCATTGGACTGAGAGTTGTGTCGGCGATGCGAGTGGTGTTGTGAAGCAGAGGCGCGGTCTAAATCAGAGAGCAGCAATTTCAGTCGCCGGGAGATCGAATCGATGTGCCGGGGTTGAGTTAATAAGGTCAACTGGGCATTAAGCCGCGTAACGAGGGGCAGCAACGGCGGCGGCAAGGGCGACGACTTTGGGATGGCCTCAGTGAACGGGATCACAGAGAATCTCAAGGCCAAATACCTCGTCAAGGGCGGCGGTAGATGATCCAACCAACTTTTCGAGTTCTCCAACCCGGCGGTCCATTTCCACAATACTGCGCACATTGGGCTTTCCACTCTCGTCGGAAGCAGCAACGACGACCGGCTGCTTCGTGTCGGGTTCCTTCTCCTGACCCAGAATTACGCCCACTAGTCGGCCCCGGCCTTCCCTTCCTTTGCGAATCTTGTCCAGTCTGCCGCGGACGTCCACTAGACCGCGTATGAGTTCCCCAGGATCCACACTATCCTCTTCCCGTTCTTTGAACAGCAAAGGATTGGCGGGGTCGGCAAGCTCGGTCTCGAGGGACATCAACTCGGCCTGCAATGCGCGGAGTCGTTGTGAGAGTGGTATAGGGCGCGACGTTGACGGCTCGATTGGGGAGGAGGGATCGGTCGGAGACGGCGGGTATGCATAGTGTGTTCGTGGCCGATCTGCAACAACTATATAAACGCACGGATGTGGAGAGATGGATGGGACGGCGCACCTCGTCGCTTCTCTGCCTTTCTAAACTTTTTGCTTGCCTCGTCGTGTTGCATGAGATTTGTCGAGTCGAGTTCATCCTTTGACGCGCCAGCATCGGCTGTTCGAGTGCCTCTTATCGCGGAACGCGAGGGCGCAGCCTCGTCGTCGCTGCCTGCGTCAGCTTTCTGGCGCGCGCGAGTCCGACGCGTAAGCAGCAGCCACTGTTTTTCGGATGCAAGACGTACATTGATGGAAGGTAATGGGTCCTCCGTCTCGTAGACATCTTGAGCGGTGTCCTGGGGGCAGATTAGCTTTGCAATGGGCGTTGTAAGATGGACGGACGATGTCGGGGAGGGTCGAGTACTTTGCGGCGTTCATGGATGGGTATATGAGGGTTGATGCTGCTGTTTGGCTGCAACCACCACGATGGTTCTCGTCCTCATAATCGGGGACCTCCATATCCCCCACCGCATCCATGACCTCCCTTCCAAGTTCAAGAAGCTACTAGTCCCAGGCAAAATACAACAGATCCTATGCACCGGAAACGTCTGCGACAAGGAAACCTACGAGTATCTCCGCACCATTTCACCCGACGTCAACGTTGTCAAAGGAGACTATGATGAGGTGCGCGACCTCGACACCCGCTCGCGACTTCTCAGCCAACACAATTGCCCCAGAGCTCAACCTTCCCGTCGTCGATAACGGTCGTTCACACCCCCATCAACATCGGCGTCATTCACGGACACCAGAGCGTTCCAGTAGGCGACCTGGACTCGCTCAGTGCCATTGCGCGGCAGATGGACGTCGACGTCCTCATATCGGGCCACACCCACACGTAAAGCGCCATGGCTACTTGCGCTGCCTTACGCTGACGTGTTGCGCAGCTTCCAAGCTCGCGAACACGACAACAAATTCTTTGTCAACCCGGGCTCGGCCACCGGCGCGTGGACGGGTGCCTTCAATGGGTACCCCGACTTATTTTACCTCGAAATTCGCCTGCTAATTACGACCCCAGCGACCCAACCCCGTCGTTTGCGCTTATGGACATCCAGGGCCCCGTCGTTGTCACATACGTCTACCAGCTCATAGAGGGCGAGGTCCGCGTAGAAAAGATTGAATGGAGAAAGGAGGACGAGGCCCTGCCGCCGAGGACTGCCCCGCAACCGATCTCTAGCCCACCTCCGAGTAGCCCTCAACCTGCCGGCGTGTGGTGAGCGTGGATCTGGATAATGTGAGCGAATTTCTTTTTGTCCTGAGAGCCCTTTTGAACTTGTCCTTTAGGTATATAGATACTTTTCAGCTGTATAGGTTTAATTTCGGACGCCTTGTGAAATAGGTTTATACGTTAGCAGCGCTAAGCGCTATTTGCGCTGCCGCGAATAGTAAAGGGCTTGAGTTCGATGCAGGTTTGGAGATTCGTCAGCACCAAAGTATCGTTAAAGCGAACGTCGTTGATACGGTAGACTCGACCTCTGATGCCGTTCAAAAAACAGTTGGACTTTGAAAGTCCCGGAGAGATAGAGATGGAGAGCTCGTTAGGTGGTGTTCTTGTAGCGACTGAGAGATAATTGACGCACAAAGAAAGTTGATAGTAGAAAGACAAAACAAAAGATCTGCCCCCGAGAGGATCGAACTCTCGATCTCCCGATTACATTATGTAATGTAATCAATATGATAATTGATTTAACAGTCGGACGCCTTAACCAGCTGGGCCAGGGGGCAGATGCACTTAAGGGAAATGGTCTATACATATCTTGAACGTAAGCACATTACGTAGTGTAATCAATGATGACTAATTGATTTAACAGTCGGACACCTTAACCAGCTGGGCCAGGGGGCACATATACTTTAGGAAAACGGTCTATACATATTTGGAACGTAAGCATATTACATAATGCAATCAATGATGACTAATTGATTTAACAGTCGGACACCTTAACCAGCTGGGCCAGGGGGCAGATGTACTTGAGGGAAATGGTCTACACATATCTTGAACGTAATCGTATCACATAATGTAATTAATGATGACTACTCAATTTAACAGTCGGACACCTTAACCAGCTGAGCCAGGGGGCAGATATGCTTGGGGCAGATATACTTAACCGAAATGGTCTATACATATGTTGAACGTAATCGCGCAGTCGATGCTAATTGACCATGTTAACAGTCGGACACCTTAACCAGCTGGGCCAGGGGGCAGATATATCTTCGAACTCTCATCTGGAAATCAAGTGGTTTACCATGTAACAGTCACACCTTAACCAGCTGAGCCAGCAGATAATCTGGGAAAATGGTTTACATAATCACGCAGCCAACGGTAATTGACTATGTTAACAGTCGGACACCTTAACCAGCTGGGCCAGGGGGCAGATATTTGATCCACTTTATATGTATATATGATAATAGTAATCACAGTGTGTAACTGAGGCAAAGCGAAACAACCCTGTGCCTTTGCAAAGAAATCCGGTGAAGAGCTGGGCTTTTACTATTGGAACAATGTGAAGGTGTGGATGACGACCTTCTTCTATCAGGAGTGGGTGAAGCGAGTCAACAAACAGATGCGTGATGAGGACTGTTACATCCTCCTCTTGCAGGATAATTTCTCTGGTTACGAACCTTCTTCTGGTCTTACCAACATGCACATCAAAATTTTTTAACCAAACCTCACTGTGCATGTTCATCGGATGGATGCAGGCATCATCCAATGCTTTAAGGCTCATTATTGCAGATTTTACATGCAACGCACACTTGCCCGTTATGACCAAGTGTTATATCCTGAGCCAGAGGGAGGAAGGACCCAGAACCCACAGGGGTCTGGTCCGACACAAGTCCAGAAACCAGAAGTCGGAATAGGACCAGATCTCGAGAAGTCGGCTTTTCTCACAAGCACCACAGCTCAGAAGGGTGTGTGACAGTCTGGCTTCCCAGCCGAGACAGACAGAGGGATAGATACTCCATGGTGTATAGCCAAGCAGAGAGGGGCTACTCCGGAAATGGTGACCCGGTCAAAATGCTGCTGTTGGAAATGAAACAAAGGTCCATGCAGACAATCTGGTGGAAGATGGGCAAGGATCAGAGAGTATGGGAACCGGAAGTCAGACCAGAAGTCAGATTGGAAGTCAGGAGTGGAGCGGAAGTCAAGACGAAGGATGAAGAGACGTCCAGAGCTCTGGTGCAACTCTGGAGTTGAGCTGAAGGCAAGATTGAAAGAATGGTCTCAGTCCATGATGAGAGGAAACATGGAACAACATTAATTTTACAGCTGAAGTACAAGACATTACAAGACCATATTTATACTAAGTCCATTATCAAGTACCTTAATAACATGACGGGTGGAGGGAACAATAAGAAGTCCAAATGCGGACAAGGAAGTTAGTAGTCCACATGGAGAGTAGAAATAATTGTCCTAATATGGACACAGACCATATGAATGAGGAACTCGTGTGGTCCCATGAGTTTGAGACATGAGGCATGAAGTCGGGGCTGAGCAGGGTCCAATGTCGAAGATGGATAAATGGGAAACACTCAGTAATCCTTCATTGCATGAAAACCCAATGATGATCCATTCACCCGACTTTCAGATCGAATTCGGATGACCAAATATTGGATCAGACTCGGGTGTGAAAGAGTGTGACGGCCAACTGTATTGAGTCCAAGTGCATGGATATAACACCAAGGCATTACAGTGAGAAAGATTTATGATATCAATCACCTTGAGACGATGCACCTCACAGCGCTCGCTTGAAACCAGGTTAGCACCAAGACGATCACACATTGCTGGCAGAAATCCGGCATCCTTCCTTCTACCACCACCTTCTCTCCTGACGATGAAGACCCTGTTGAGGTTGCCGAGAAAGCGCTGGCAGACTCCATCAATGCATTGCAGGAGACTGGCGTCCTACAGCACACAAACCATGTCAAGCTTGAGTCGCTTGTCAACCTGCCAGCAGAGCACATCATGGTTGATGAGGTGTTGGATGAGGAGATCTGTGAGGCTGTCCAGAAAATGCGCCATGGTGAAGAGGGAAGAGAAATTAACGGTGGTGATGATGGTGATGACACAGATGATAGAACTGTAGAGCCGAAGCTAATGAGGACGGCTGCCCTCCAGGCATCATTGACCTTGTGCCAGTTCATCTCAGACATGCATGATCCATTTGCGTGCAAGCTGGAGGCACTTCTTGTGACATTTGGCCATGAAACACATTGGGAAGCCGCTGTAAGAGTGGTGAGGGTTTATGCTTAGACTCGCACCCGACTGAAACTGTCCAAGATCTAATTGATGCTTGAAGAGCGGCAGGTTGGGAGCAAGGTAAGTTGCCCCCACATGACGCTCCTCATAAACTAATAACAACAAATATATCTACAGGTAATAAGGGTCCTTAACACCCCCCTCTTCTGGACGGACATGTCCGTCCATTTCAATATAGTAAAGCATGGTCGTCGTCCGTAGGCACTGTCTGGTCATCTTCTGCGTTCGTCATTACCGCATCCTCTTGGGCATATGGTTGCGAGGGGACTGCAGATACGAGCCCTTCGCGGAGCGGTCCGAAGTCCAACGCGTCCCTGTGTATCATGCTCGACTCGGGCAGGCGGACTACCTCGTTGGTGGATTGTGGAAATCTGGTGTTGAACTCCGTCGCGTCATTAGAGGGGGCAGGTCCATCGTCCTGGCGGCGAGCGGATTGCGCAAAAGATTGAAGCATCCCGAAGTCGTCTGAGGACGGGGATATCCCGTGAATCACCAGCCACGCAGCGACAGCGCAATGGTCAAGGTGTTCTGTGCCAAACGGATATGGGGACATGGGGAGGAAATCCTCAGGGTACTCGCCAAATTGAATGATGCGATGGAAGTATCCGGGCACGGAGAGTAGCTCGTAAGCTTGAGTCATGAAATGGTCATATAGCTCGCGATCCTCGAGCGCATTCGGCGCGAGGGCCTGGAGTGTGTTTAAACACACAAGGTCTTCCACGTTGGGGAGCGCGTTGGACGTGCGTGGTATTTGTCCGATTTCTGTGCGGACGCCTCGGGGCCAGGTCTCGGCTGGGCGATCAGCAAGTGGTTATATAGATGCACACGCGAAGATCGCGTACTCTGGTGGACCCGTGTCTTTACGACCGTGGGTGGATTGGATGGGTCGGCTGGTCCGTTATATACTGGACTGGGCGGTGAGAGGCGATGTAAGAGGTGCCCTCAAATCTTGGAGAAAGTGGTCTAGTCGCCTCTGACAGCGTGTCAGCTAGGGTAGTGAGGGAGGATTGATCTAGTGAAAGACGGTGCGGCGGGGAGGCTGAGCTTGCCACTGCGTTTGCGTACCCGCGAGTTGGAGAGGGACGTGTCCCAGCCGGTGGGGCGAGTCGTTCTACCAATGGGCGTCGAGTCGAATCAGGCGATGTTCGGCCCTCAGTGTGTTGAACTCGGAGTCGGTGGTCGTCTTGGTATCGCTGTTGGCGACTCAGTATGTAGGCTTTGCCTTCGGTGCGTTCGGCAGTGGGGTCGCCGCTGTATGATCAAATCATCCAGAGGAACATATTCCATGTGTAAGGGCATCCCAACAGTATCCAGAGCTCAAAGTTATATGCGTGGGTGTAGGAGGAGATCGTGATCCCGTGCCATGGTCCGACTAGCGACGCCTCCGTAAGGTGAATGGGGAGGATTGTGGTGTTTGCATTCTCTTCAACCTTGGCGGTAGCCTCTAGTCTGCGTTGAGCTTCGTGTGCGGGGAATGATCCATCTGGGCCCCAGGATCTTGGGGTCGACCAGCGGTTCGGAGATGGAAACACTGGATGCCCGTCGAGCAGGCGGACTCGGGCAATGGGGTGGGAGATCGTTCGCGGTGGGGCACGGGGCCGAGGGTGCCTCGTCGCGGGCGTCGGTCGCCGAATAGTCGTTCCGTGGTCGATACAAGTCCGCGGAGGAGCGGCTTCTGCCAGGCGATTCGGCCCAATTATCGCGTCGATACGCGTTGGGACCATAGGAGTATGATCCCGAGTTACGGGAGGATCCATGACTCGGGCCTGCATAACGGTTAGGATTAGCATGGTGAACCGTAGTCCAAGGGACGTATCCCCGTCGAGGGATTGAGGACGAGGGGCATCTAACTGACTGGAATTCAGGGATGATCTGGAGGACGTCTCTCCAATCGGTCGTGTGTCCGGTCGTGCCGGATTAGACGGGGGTGCGGCCACCGTTGCGGCAGTAGAGGAGGCCGGGGGCCCCAAAGGAGACACTCCATTCACATAGGGCGGAGGAGGAATGAGCGTAGATACGCCGTGAGGGGGAACCCAAGTAGGAGACAGAGGGTTGCCGTCGAAGTAACCAACCGAGGGATGTCGAAAGTAGAAGCCTCAGAGGGACTGGTCCCTAGATTCAATCCAAGCGTCGTCATCTGCGTATGCTCAAGACGGATTGGCCATCAGGTAAGAGCGCAAGAGGGTCAAGAGCCAGGCCAGCAAATTAGTAGGCATTGCGTTTTTGCGGTACGGGTCCAAGCTTTTGCGGGACCACGCGGGGATCAATCCCGTGCAAGATCTTGCCATCTGGATACGCCTTGTGCTTCGAAATATTCATCGACGGCAACACAGTCTTCGAGTTGTTTTGGGGATTCCCAGGTGTAGTCTCCGGCGGTCCATTTAACATGGAACTTGAGGCTCCTTGTCCCTGCCCACTTGTGAGCAGTAATCTCGTCGATCAGCCATTCTTGATTATCGGGCATGCCGAA